TGTACTTATGGCAGCGGGCATTAAAGGTAAAGCCTCAGATTTATCCCAATTAATTTTGTATCCCGATATAGCTCCAAACTCCCTTGCAGTCTCAAGACTATGACGAAGGGATGTGGGAGGATCTGATAATGTTAGGAGGATATCATCTGCAAAAAGACTTTTCATCCCCATTACTGGAGCTGCAATTCCTTTAATATTGTGGTTTTCTCTAATCAGTATGGCCAAAGGTTCTATGACAAAACAAAGAGCATAGGACTCAAAGGGCACCCCTGAGGTGTCCCTCGTCTACATTCAAATGGTATTAGATTATGCTATTTGTAGTTATTCAGGCTGTAGGAGTTGAGTATATCAATAAAATTTAATTTGTAAAATTTGGGCCAAACCCAAATTTGTTCAATGTTTTGAAAAGATATGACCATTCAATGCGGTCATATGTCTTTTTTTCTCATATTGTCTGCAATTTGTCTGGACCTTACAACACCAATTTGATCAATGTTAATGAGTTTAGGTAGGATTTCATCTAATCTTCTTGCAAAATTTTTTAAAATATATTTTCCTCTCTGAATTAAGAAGTGAGATAGGGTGGTATCCTCCGCACTATAAGGGGTCCTTGTTAGGTTTAAGTAGGACTGTGATGAGGGAAAAATGTGTTGAGTCGGGTAGGTATCCATTTTCCTTGGCTTCATTGAAAACCTTTTGTATTTTATCAACTAATTTGGATGACGAAGTTTTATAGAAGTTCATACTGAGCCTGGGGCTTTACAACTAGCCAGTTTGTTGATGGCAGCCAAAATGTCTGCTTGAGAAATTGGTCTTTTGAAATTGTCTCTATCTTCAGTGGATAGAGTAGGCAAATAAATTTAGTAGGGTTGCGGGGGGGCTGGAGCCTATCCCAGCATCTTTTCGGGCGAGAGGCGGGGTACACCCTGGACAGGTCGCCAGTCCATCGCAGGGCAAACACATAGAGACAGACAACCATTCACTCTCACAGTCACACCTATGGTCAATTTGGAGTATCCAATTAGCCTAGTCCCCATTTGCATGTCTTTGGACTGTGGGAGGAAGCTGGAGTACCCGGAGAGAACCCACACAGGCACGGGGAGAACATGCAAACTCCACACAGAAAGATCCCGCGTCCGAGCCAGGACTCGAACCCGGAACCTTCTTGCTGTGAGGCGACAGCGCTAACCACTGCACCACCGTGCCGCCCCGAAGAGTATAGTGTTTCATAATATTCTTTCAGTCTCTTATTGATGTCTTGAGGCGATTTTAATATTTCCTCATTTTCTGATTTAATTGCAGGAATAAGACAAGAAGTCCTTGCCTTTTGAAGCCTATGGGCTAACAGTTTACCAGCCTTGTCCCCATTTTCCAAGTATTTTGATTTTAAGTGATACAGATCAAATTCTGTCTTTTAATTTAATAAGTTTAAATTCTCATTTAAAAGTAAAGAATTATTTAATTTCCACATGGAAGGTTTGATATGATGAATGGATGGAGAGGAGGCCAATGTTATGTGGCAGTGATCACCAGCAGCTAAATTTTATCCACAGAGGTGTATTCCTCTCCATAAAAAACAGACCAGGGAATTAAAAACAGTAAAAACACCCATAAAGAATTTCACCTTTAAAAATCAGACATTCACAGATGCTCTTCAGTGGACAAAGGACAGGATGTCTCCAGCAGCTGGGAACTGAGCTGTCTAACATTTACTCAGCTTGTTTCTCTGATAACTTCAGATCCAGAAGTCCGATGACTAAAATCCTTCATCTGGTTCAAATGTAGAGTTGAAAGTCAATGTTGAGCTTCTGTCAGACAAACACAACACATGATCATAGAGGATATGATGTCACTGACAGGCGACCAATGAAACGTTACCATGATTAAAATCAGATTTATCTGGTTTGAGAATTGATGGAAACATTTGTGATGATGTAAGAACACAACATATAGAACACAGGTCTAGTTGTTTTTAGAAAATTTAATGTGGAGAAGTTACAGATTATAACTTTAAATCCTGTCAGTCAGTTTGAGAGGGCAGAGCTTCTAATCCTGTGTGTCAGTTTCAAAAATGGAGCTACCTTTTTCGTATTTATATTGATTTTGCCAGAGAAATCAGGTGAGACAGTATGAAGAGCTACAAGGCCCATGTAATGAGCAGGTCACAGTGGATGTGTGGGTTAAACATAGACCTTTCACCCAGGAGTCTGGGGTTCAAATCTAATTATATTTATTGACCAATTTAATTTATTATTTTCAGTTTTTCTTTATTTTTATATGAAACCTTTATGTCAGAAAGCCTTGAAGTGAAACTTGTGCAGGAGCTTCACGCTGCCATGTGAACCCTGAATGACAGGCACACAGAGAGGTCCACTAAAGAGACAGACTGAGATGGTTAACACAACCATTGGCCCACCGATGTGGTGGCCCGCCAGGATCTCTCTAGGTGCTCTGTGACTAGAGTATGATTCACAACAATCACTCAACATCAGCAGAAGGAGGCGAGTAGATACAGCTGCTTTTGTTCTCTCTCTCCTGTCTGCTACAATAGGGAGAAATGGAAAAAATACTGAAAATAATAAGTTAAATATTTCAGTAAATATAATGAGATTCAAACCCCAGTTTCCTAGGTGAGAGTCCTGTTTAACCCACAAGGACCTGGAGATTGCATGGGCTTTGTAGCTCTTGATACTAATCTGACCTGACTTCCTAAAGCCTCTAGCAGAAGGACTTCACTGATTAAAACACATTTTTACCCAAAAGAAAGACATGACAATATTGTTACATAACTTGTAGTTTATATTTACATGGAGAAATTAAAAATCACCAGAAAAAACATGATGCTGTAGCACTATGTAGACCTGGACTGCACTTCAGTGTCTTGTGGCCAAAATGAGTATTACAACAATAAAACAAAAAATCCCAACAAAAAAAGAAAAAGAAAAAAATTGCACTTACCTCTCAGGGCTTTGGCAGGTGTTTTTTTAAAGCCACTGGTGGTTGCAACGAGTATTACAAAAACCAACGCTTCAACAACAAAACTCAACACTTGCCTTCAGGGTTTCCGTACTCATTCAACAACTGAGCGGAGGTCAAACATTACAGTGCAGGCTGTCTCCCACTAACAACAGGGGCCTGTACCACAGTTTTCTCTGGCCTTAACTCAGGTTTCCTGGTGTCATGAAGCTGCTTCACTTTTAACCAGGGTATGTCACTATGGAAAGTGGCTTTATTTCCCTCTGAATAACTACATCATGATGATTAAAGTTTCTTAGATTCCTGACTGTGATGAAGCCTTAACTCTCTTCTTCATCACTGCAGCTCAGAATAACATAAGGAGAAATAAAGACCAGTTTTTCCTCTACATTATTTTAGCGGGGGCGCCCCGCCACTGCTAAATCATAGCCGCCATGCCTTCAAATTTCTTTCTTTTTCTTTTTTTTTATTGTCGCAAATGCACCACCGCCACATCTCTCCACCTTCACAGCACAGCCTGTGTGATGATGAGCGCAACAGCGGGGGGAGGGGAGGAGAGGGGAGGGAGGGAGTGGGGTGGTTGGGGGATCCTATTGGAGTTAATTACTCGCGAGAGCGCGGCCTTGAAAGTGACATCACGTCAGGTACTAGGTCAGAGTCAGAGAAGTGTAGTCGTGAGGAATAAAGCAGCGAATTACCGGAGAAAAGGTAGACTTATTAGCCAACTCAGTGACGCTAACTTGGGTAAACTAATTGATAGCATTAAGCTAATATCTAGACGTCATTATGTATTAACTGCTGACTGCATTTTCAGATGAGCTTGTTCAGATACTTCTCTAAGAGGAGAAAGACAACAGATGAAGAAGACGCTAGTCAGGTAGCCTATCATAAGCCTTTTACTGACTCGTAAATGATGACGGTTAGGTAAAAAATAATATTTTAATGTTCACACTTGTAATCAGATGTGATGTGAGTGTAAACTATATAACGCTGAAAATCAAGTGCTCTGAGCCTGGGTGCAAACTTTGCCACTGACTCTACAGCCCCATCTAGCTGATCTTTATATGTTTATTTATTATTTTTATTTATTTAATGTTATTGTTTTATTTATTTTTTACTTTTTACATTTTCAACTGGTTAGAGTTGAAGTAACATTTATTTTTCACAAACCAAAGGTATTTATTTTTCTTGACATTGTATATGGCTGTGATATACAGTATATTGTAAAAGTTCAATGGTGGCGATAAAAGCATATTCAACTGGCCAGCCAATAAATAGGTTTTGAAAGTAAAATCTGCTGTCAACTGCTCATTTGGTCAGGGGGGGAATCCTAGAGGAAACACTGAAGACTAAACCAACAATGATGATGCACTGTTCAATATTTCTATGATTATAAAGAAGGAACATTTCAGTCAGACTGACTCATCAGACATCAACTACCTCTGTCCTCTTCTCTGCTTTAGGCTGTAGAAACAGGCTGACATTACCTTTTAACTTTTTATCTGTGCTCGACACTCACTCCTCCTCTTTGACCATTTATGGATTAGCCGGGAGTTAGGGGTGGAGTCAGGCACTGCCAAGATGGTGATTGCAGCAGCTCACTCTAAGCATCAGAAACCTGTGGGTGACATCACAGAGGCTACATCCATCTTTATTTACAGTAAAACCAAAACAATGAGCTGAAAGAGGCTAAAATGTTTCATATGACTGATGCGACTGTGGACTTACCTGTCTCTGTGGGTCCAGTGACACCTTTCATATGGTGCAGCTTTAATGTTGTGGGTTACATGTGCTGCTGGCAGAGGGGCTGAATTTCACAGATATGCCCCTGATGAAGAGGAGGACTGCGTGGGTGAGGTTAAATGAGGTAAATTCTTATGAAGACATAGATACACCATTTCTAGTTCTATGTAATGTAAAATGACATTATCTATCTATCTATCTATCTATCTATCTATCTATCTATCTATCTATCTATCTATCTATCTATCTATCTATCTATCTATCTATCTCTCTACCTACTCTGGTACTTTAGGGAGCGTTTGTTTAACCGGATGCGACGTCACATGTTTGCGGTCGGAGCTTGTGGGCAGAGAAGAAGCTACTTTAGCTTAGCTAAAGTCTTTTACCTGCTCAGCATTGAAACACGTCGAATCGTCGTAGTAATGGTCTGACCAAACCTCCTCCTAACCCACCGGAGGACTAACACCGTGTTTTCACCGACGGAGCGGCCAGCGAACCACCGACTGGAGGAAGGATGTCCAGCCGCCTGGCCTTTCAGACCCAGCTGGCCTCCATCATGGAGGTCCTGGCTAACGCCGCGGTGGCGGAGATCTGTAAGCTGGTGGACGATGAATACGCCGTGGTGAGTTTACAGATGTCCCAGTGCCAGAGAGAGAACAAAGCCCTGAAGAGAAAGCTGCATCTGCTGGAGCTGAAGATGGCCCGGGGAAACGCCGAGAGGAGGCTCCGGGAGAGCGCCATGAACAGCAGCCGGCCGAGAGTCCAGATACACCCGGGAGACAGACTCCGGGAGTCCTCTCCATCCACCAGTAAGAGCTGCTGTTTTAAACCATGTTTTCTTCAGACACACACACACACACACACACACACACACACACAATAAATAAATAATAAATATATATATATATATAAATTACATAACATACCTAAACATGCCAGAACCTGAATATGACTGAATTACCTCAGTGTGTTTGAATATGACAGTCTATTACCACAGTGTGTCTGAATATGACAGTCTATTACCACAGTGCAGTATCCTCTGCCACCATGATTTTTCATTAAAGTTGTTATGATACCTGCTGCGTTCATTAGAAGAGTTTTTTTCTCCTAGAAAAATCAACAAAACACATTGAGAATGTTCCTTGTTTCCATTGAGTTTTGTTAGGTGAATAAAGTGGGGTTTTCTCCTCTCACGATATCATTTCAATTAAACATTGCGACGGATGTCCAGCATTTGTTAATTGGTGAGACGATTGCATCCATCCATAGTTGCCGCTGTATTATTTAATCGAAGGCGACCAGGTTATGTGGTGCACGTAATGACAGAGGGGGAAAATCTCTTATATATGGTATATATACGGTCATGTATCAGGGATTTTGGGAGATAATAGTCTGCAGTGTTTTTGGATGTCATGTGAACACTCAAGTCATGTCATGTGTGTTTCTGTTTCACTTTTGCGACATATTGCTTTGTCGAATAGACTGAAAAACCGCAAGTCTACAATTGCATATTGGCAATGCAGTAATCCAATAACAAGTTATCAATCAATTCAAAATCAGTTCTTTTTTGCTGCTCTCAAACAGGAGGTTTAACCTGAGCTATTCACCGACAGCGACCATATCACATCCACACAGGGTCAGAAGTATACAGTTGTTAACATCATTGTTTTGCTGCAGCGCTGTTCACAGGTTGTGGAACCCACCCAAAAGAACATTTCTGTACCCATAGTGACAGTCTACCTCTATGTCCTGTTACAAAAATATACCCACTGGAAAGGTACAGAATTGGTACCTTTTTTTCAAGTTATTTTTTGGCATTTTTGCCTTTATTTATTATTTTGCCAACAGAATTAGTGGCACCTTATTAGGTACATTTGGAGTGACATGTCATTTTGTACCTTTTATGAGGCAAAAACATTAACAATTATTGGCCAAAATTTATTTAAAAAACTGACAATTAGTTTCCATCTTTAACAAAATCAACATTTTATATGTAAACTGATCCATTTTCAATGTGTTTCAATCTATTGTTCTGACAGAACCGATTTGTCCCAGCACATGAAAAAAGGCAGCTTTTCGACATTAAACTGAAGCATAATACCTAAGGAGCCACTCTGTAATCACTGAGTGCAACCAAGAGAAATTTCATTTTGGTTTCAGACACAAAACAGATTCAAAGTTCAGTAATTAGTATTACATTTACAAAATACAAATTCATAATTTGTGTGTATTATTGAAGGCGTACACTGTAGAAAAGTGTCCACCGGTAGAGATTTGGCAGTACTGTCCCTTAGTGCTGAAGTCACTCATAGACAGCCGTGGTTCTGGTTGAGACCCAGACGATGTCCTATCTGGACCCCGATTGTATAACCTACAAATGATCAAGAACTATTACATTTGGGCAGAGCATATCTATTTTAACCAGCGCAGCTTTTCTAGCCTTTACATCACTTTTCACGTGACGCTGCTCAGCCAATCTTTGTGACTTGAGTCAGTGAGTGACATAGACACAGGAGAGAGATGAGAGGAGAAGGTGGGGTATAAGAGGGAAAGAAAGAGAAAAGGATGTGAGTTAACAAAAAGAAGAAAAAGTGAAACTCAAGTTGCACTTTAATTGTTCTAAAATTAAACACTTTATTTTAAGATGCACATTTTTCAAAAGCTCTGTTTTGTATCTCAGCTCTTGTTTTCCTAGAAATGAAGCAAGATCATTAAATTACCATGAGAGAAGTTGTTTCTAATCACTCCAGTTCACTCCTCATTACTAAAAGAGGTGTGATAGACTGGGATCTGATTCACAGGAGAGGAGCCTGACACCATTCTACTTTCATACTGTTTATTTGGTGGAGGACAGAGTGAGCTGCGGCCCCAAAATGAGTTTTAAAAACACACAATCACCTGTCGAAGCATCTCACATAGAGGCTCCGACACTGACAGGAGCTCCAACCTTAGGATGAGACAGATCTGTTTTAACAGTCTGCATGGCGGCTAGCCATGTTGAGGTAAACCTGTATCAGAAACTTTGGGAACCACAAGCTGGCCTGTAGGGATCATAACATGAGCTCTTCAAGATACGATGGTGTAGGTGAGGAGGAGGAGTTTACAGGGAGCTAATGAAGCCAACACAGGAGAGGTGTTCCGGACATCCTCATAATAAGGAATTACAGTAGTTCAGTCTAGAGGTCACAAATGCATTGGCTAGTTTTTATTCCTCCGTGTCAGGGACAGTCAGAGCAGCAGACATTTTGTTTTCAGGTTGTACATCTGTCCCATTTTCGTGGACACGATATCTCTATCTATAACGCCTTAACAGAACTTCCTCAAATTTGGTACAAACATTCACTAGGGCTCAAGGATGAATTCATTAGATTTTGGGGGGTCAAAGGTCACGGCGTGGTGACCTCACAAAACAGATTTTCCTTGTGAATGCAATATCTCAGTAATGCTTTGAACTTCTTGAAATTTGGTAAAAACATTCATCTGGGCTCAAGGACAAACTGAATCCCAATAAATCATGCACAAATGTCCATTTGGACTGAAGGATGAACTGACTAGATTTTGGTGGCTAAAGACCAATGGTCAAGGTCACAGTTATCTCAGAAAACACTTTTTAGCCATTACTCAAGACTTTGCAGAAATTATGACAAAATTTAATGACTAAAAATATGACTCTGGATAAACGGATGTAACCTGAAACTAGTCTCAGTGGAGGAGGCAGACAACCACGAGGAGGTGACTCTAGTTCCTTTTGAGCGAGGATGACAGGATTTCTTATAGTCTGAATTTCAACATGAAATCAGAAAATCTAGACTGTGTTTCTACACTTGGCTTTGGGATATGGTGGACGAGAGAAATGAGTTCAACTGTAGAACGTGTGGAGAATATTGAGATCCAGAAATCATCAGAGTCACAGACACAACATCAGCAGCTCTTTCAGGGCAGAACCCTTGTCATTTGGTTGATTGATGAAATATTTATCCTTCAGCAACAATGTGATTGTATCTGAATGCTGAACATGTGACAACCAGTATTTCTGAACACACGTGTCCTGTGTTTGTGTAGGTGCTGTGTTTGAGCGACAGATGGCCGTGGCTCTGTGGTCAGGCAGAGCTGCTGCAGGTGGTGCAACTGGCCAGCCGGTCCACTCTGACAGCATCCACAGTAAGGTAAGCACCATGGGGGAGTCCAGGTGATGTGGAGGACTCACATACTGGGAGGGGGCAGGCTGGCTGCTGTGGTTGTACTGGGCAGCTGGGCAGTCAGTGCTTGTACTGTAGCTGCTGGAATCTGAAGCAGGTCTTTGCTGAGTCTGACAGAGCTGCCTTACTGTGCAGTCTCCAGATGTGGAGCTGGTGGAACCAGAGGCACTGCTGGTGAAGGAGGAGAAGGTGGAGGCAAACATGTCCCGAGCTGAAGAGACAGAGGAGGACGTGCCCCTTATAGGAGATGATGGTGAGTGCAGAAGCTGTCACGTGTATGTGTGTCATGATGAGTGACAAACGTTCACTTGGAATCAAGGATGAACTGATTAGATTTTGGTGGCTAAAGGTCAAGATCAGTGTCACATCACAAAACACTTTTTAGCCAGCACTCAAGACTTTGCTCAGCAATTATGACAAAATTTCACACCAGTGGTTAATATTTTATATGACTCTGGATAAACAGGGATGTAACCTGAAACTAGTCTGAGTGGAGGAGGAGATTCTAGTTTATTTATATGTTTGAATTTAGATGTCATAAATTGGAACTGATTTTGGTGTCAATAGCTGCATTTCGACCCCTGGAACTTTAAGTTCCAGGTACTTTTCTTCAGGAACTGAAAGGTTCCTGTGGCCCATTGTTGTCTGCGTTTCCACCATGGCCTAAAGTCCCGGGAAGATAATTATTACTTGACATTACATTATTCATATCACTTTGAGTACATAACATGAAAGACAATATGGGACAAATTGGGTCCCCTATATATTCAATACAGGACGCAGCATATTATACATGACGGGTGGCAACCTCAGCCACTCCGTCGGTTGTGGTCATTTAATTTTTTGAAGTCCTGTTTCAGTTTTTTTACCTTCTCCCGGACCTGTTTTTGCAGTGTGGAAAATGTATTCGCTCGCTCCCTCGCTCGCTCCCTCCCTCTCTGTGGACTTTTAAACATCACAGGTGAAAAAAAATGCAGCAAGTACTCGACCAGTCAGAAATGTTCAGCACTGCAGACCACACCCCCCAAAGTTCCTGAACCTTTGGAAAGTACTAGCCGCCGACCAGGGACTTTTTTGGGGGTCAGCTAGTCAGCTAATGCTTATGTTAGAATGAGTGCTTCAAATTCACCATATTTTCTTCTTCTGTGTTTTACTTGAAGTGTTGATCCATAAGAAGATATATTTGTGGTTCATCTTAGTGTAGTTTTACATCTCCTCTCTCAGGCTTCTCTCTGGAGCTCTAGTAACAACACGTCGGTGAGCCAATTGGAAGAGAGGAGGCTCTGAGCTTCTGTTTTGATTGGCTGATTGATTCGATAAAAAATAGCAGATTTCAAGTAAACACTCAGAGAAACCAAATCCTTCAAGGTTGGATGGTGGGTCCAGTGGGGCAGGGCTTGGTGACTGCTTTGTTGTGACATCACAAAGTTCCAAAAGTCCTGACGGCTGGTTTTAAGGCGCAGTTTCTGAATACAGGCTGGGTGCATTTCTCTGTGAACTGAGAGCTTTGATAATTTCACAGGATTAATATAGAACCTAGACCTGATCTATAATCAAACAACATATGGACATCTACCTTTAGACTATATGGAGCTTTAGAATTACTGTCCCAGCTGTATGGCGTTACTTTTGTCTGTTAATAAAAAAAAACAAATTAATGTGGAATCACAAACTGCAGAATGACAGCTGTCATGTGAAATGTTACCGTCTTTTTGTTTGCATCTCTTTTGAGTTTGGTCATTATGGTAAAAGTACAAATGTTGCAGGGACGGGGCTTCTCTCTGTGGCTCTTCTATTGGTCTGATACACTGAAGAATTCTGGTAAGAGACCACTGAACTCCAGTAGCCCTCCCTGAAAGATGAAATCACTGATTTGTAAAACCTTATTGTTTGAGACTGATGGCCTTGTGGAAGAATAATATGTAGTGTCTTGTGAGCTCTCAGGGCCACCATAGATTTTCTGAGACAGTTTGAAGTGTTCAGATTCCAGTCTTTTGATCTGTGGTTTCGTGGTTTTTTGACAGATTTCTGCAGTGAAGACGTCGGGACATTGTGAGCTTGTTGTGAGCTCCCCCTCCCCCCAATACTATTATGAATTTTATCATAATAGTATTAGTATTGTCTTTTCTCTGGCGGCTCAGTCAGACTCCTGCTTATTTTCATCATTTAAACGAGCACTCTTGATTCTGCACATGCTCGGTTCACTCGTGATGGCACTACACAAACTATAACAGGAAGTGATCAGCTTTTAATTTCATGGATGTAACTGAACAGGTGAAATGATAAAATGACAATAGATAATCAGTGTGAGATCATGATATTGGTGATGATGATAAATTGACAGATTGACCAGTAGAACCATGTGAGACAGAGTATTAAACTGTTGTGTCTCCCCTTCCTTTGTCTCATTGTGTCTCTCTGAAGGAGTGCTGGAGTGTGTCCCTCGTGGAGCTGCAGGACAGAGACTCAGCCCTGAACAGCAGGACATCCAATCCCAGACCCAGTCTCAGACCCAGATCCAGTCTCAGACCCAGATCCAGATGCAGAACAGCAGGCGTAGTGGCAACAGCAGAGGAGCGGAGGTCAGTGACTCCTCTCCTCTCCTTAAGTGCGACCTCAGTTCCTCTGATGAGGGCAGAGACTCGCTGCAGGAAACGGTAAACCCCGCCCAGTATGTCGATGATGTCAGCAGTGACTCACAGTTTGATGTGTTGTGTGACAATGATAAAAGTGCTGACTCTTTGGTTGAGGAGTTTTTTGACGAGCCCTTGGGGGCTGAAATGGAAGGACAGACGCCGTCTTGTTCATACTCGATGGCGGCGGCCGATTTCCCTTCGACCTCCTCCAGTGTGAACGGCTGGGCTTGTTACGGCGCCAGTTTCCCGATTTCCCAGCCCTTCAGTGACAGCAAACAAGCGCACCATCGACCCGGCCCAAAGGAGAGACTGTTCGTCTGCAGCTACTGCGGCAAAGCTTTTAACCGGCCAAAGAAAGTGGAGATCCACCAGCGTGTCCACACGGGGGAGAAGCCGTTCAGCTGCTCCACATGTGGGAAGACGTTCTCCGAGGCTGGTAACCTGAGGAAGCACCAGAGGGTTCACACCGGGGAAAAACCGTACAGCTGTGGGATGTGTGGCCGAGGATTTGCCTGGATAAGAAACCTGAAGACACACCAGCAAAAGAGCCACCCTGAAATTCACCCTGAGGAGGAGAGCTGGGAACAGACCCGGACCGAGCCGGTCTGAAGACTCGGTGCTGAGGAAAAGACTCAACACAATGAACAGATCTCTAAATGTTTCACATGGTGGTCAACAGGAAACGTGTTTTAAATGTGTCTTTGTTTTCAGAGAGGATGGAGAAGGAGATGAATTAGGGGGACGCAGTTTTTGGACAATTTGAACTTGGTTGTGATGACTTCATCCATCCTCTTCAAAATGACTTGTGAAATGTGTTGTTTCATTGAAGTGTTTGCTGTACACATGCATGGACGATACTGCGCACAGCTGCAGCTTTGCATCAAGAAGGAGAGCCAAAAGGAGCAAATCCCATCTACAGAGTGTTAGTCTGACTTCCCTCCTCTGTCTGTGGCTCTAACTGGTTCCTCCTGAACATGTAAATCGTACAGTTTCATTAAAAAAAATAAACTCTCAGTCATTTCCTAAATATAAAGGAAATGGTGACTGTTGGGGACTTTTTCAGTGGCAGATCAATCCTCATTTGGTGTTCTTGTGAGCGGGACGGTGTGTGCTGGACTGAGTCTAAATAAACCACAGTGTGTGTGTTGATGGTTATGAAGGAATATGTGTTTTAGGAAACAGTGGAGCTCAGTGGCTCAGATTCATCAGATGTGACGTAGGAGATGGTGTCAGTTTGGATCTGCACTAACCCTCTTCAGGAATCAGGTCCTGCTTTACCATTAATAAATACTCAGTTCATGTGACGACCACATTATGATCATTGTAAACTGTACGGCAGGGGTGTGAACCCAATCACAGAGAGGGTCAACTGGGTCCAAGTTGAGGGCCAAACGGTGTCAAAGTTTATTGAAAAACAGACTTAAATCGACCGTGTTGTTTCATGTATTAGGTGAACACGGTCTGCTGTGACTCCAGACTTCTTCTGAACTCTTCTTCCTTCAGGAGCTTGAGCTGTGTCCTGATCCTGGTACTGGTCATGATGTTCGTTTTGTTGTGTCGTTTTATGTTATATTCTTTAATTACGGCCACATCCGCTCTGCGCAGAGGACAGACAGGTTTATTTTTTATGTCAGTGAACAGATACTCTATCTCCCACCTCTCCTGAAAGCCCATGTTTTCAGAGTCCACCTTTCGTTTAGCCATTTCTATTGGGGGCGAGCTTAAATGTGACTGGAAGTGACTGAATGAGCGTGCGACTCTGAGTATGTCAATACAGAGGGGGAGGAAGTATCAGTTGTGTGAGTGCAGTTCTGATAGACAGAAGATATTATCTCCTTGAGTTTGACATGTATGCTGTCCGATGTAAATCTGAGCCTCCCGTTCAGCTGTTACATTAACATGTTTACATTCATCAGTAACAGATGAGCAAGCGCTGACTGAACATCTGGTTCCACTTGCATCATGTGTATGAGACTTTAAAGAGCGTTGCACACTTTGTGGGAATAAATAAGAAGTACCTGTGTTGGAATTCAGCCTCAGTGACTGAGTGTGAACATGGTGTCCATGTCTCTGTAAGCGTTTGAGAGCATTGTCGAGGTGTGGACAGTCTTTCTAAATGTAGCACATTTCATGTATAATAGTGGAAATATTACATGTTTTTTATGCAGTGTTTGATCTATGGAATAAAAGATGCACCGCTGAAACCACTGATTTATTTCACCACCAGTCTCGCATGAATGAAATCAGATGTGAAGAAGTCAGTTGAGCACCTGGAATTTTTAAAATAACATACATCCTAAAGCCTTGAATGTGATCAAAGAGCATCGATCCCAACACGACCCCCCATCCCTCACGAGTCCCTCTGTAGTGTGACATGTACGCTGTGGTTGGTCTGTGACGACACGTCAGACAGTGAGTCAGACTGTGTGTTTACAGCTCACTGTCACATTCAACTGACAAATCTTGTTTAAAGCTTCAACCTGTTCTCCACGACACTGATGTGTATAATGTGTGAAACCAAATGTTACTGTGTGAGGGACTTTGACTTGACATTGTGTAAAGAAGCATTTAAACAGTCATAATGTTCTTCAGATGGCTGGTACCAGCAGAACCTTTGAGTTCTTAAAGGGTTAGAACACAGTTCTGGATCTCTGAGGCCAACACTAATATTTGAGAGTTAAAGTGATAGTTGTGGTGTTTTGACGTGGGGTTGTGCTCCCAGTTAGGAAAGCCGACCGGCAGCACCCGGCAGAGTGTCAGAGTAATAAGCTGCTGTGGGTCGCCCATCGAAACAACCCAATATCTGTTTAAATGTAGCTTCATGTAGAATATTTTTCAGACCTACGGAGTACACTATATTACGCCGCTTTCTGATTCAGTCAGCTGACCTGCGGCTGCGGTGTGCGCCGTAGGAATATGGTAGTCCAGTGGTTGAAAAATGTAGTGCCAAGGGAAAGTGCTGTTTTCACAGGAAGATAAAGAGCTGAAATATTGTACATGAAGCTACATTTAAACAGATATTGGATTGCTTTGGTGGGTGTTTTTAAAAGTGTCTAAAACAGGTTTTTTTTGGTGGCCAGCCCACAGCAGCTCATCACTCTGACACTCTGCCAGTGGCCCCGGTCAGCTTTCCTATCTCGGAGCGCGCTGAACAGAATCTACTGTAGGTAATGTACCAACTATATACTGTATGACTACCTCACGCAACCCCACCCCAAAACACCACAACTATCCCTTTAATTACAATCGGCTGCTATTTTTTTCATTGTTTTCTACATAAACACTCTCGTAATCTTTATTAAAATCTAATTTGGTTATTAAAGCTGCATTAATCAATATTTTCTAAATGATGAGGTCATGACCCACAGTGATGATGTAACTGTGCAGATGTACACTGACTCCACTCCAGGTGAACGACTGTGTCTGACGTCACCTGTCCTCTGTTTATTGTGTGTGCAAAAGGAGGCGGAGCCAGAAGTGGTGCTGGTGAAGATGGAGGAGGTGGAGCTGGTGACAGGACCTCAGAGCCAGACAGGCCTCAGCATACAGGAGGGTGAGTTCACACAGAGCACAGCCATTTGTGTTTGTTATCAGTTTCAAAATAAAATGCACACTTCCTGTACAGTGGTGGGTCAGACACTTTGTGTTTTTATCACTTAAAATCAAAACTGGATCAAAACTCAAAGCACAAAACAAACTGTCTGTGTCTGATTTCGTGGCAGTAGGTTAAAAACACCCTCACATCACTGTCAGTGTGCACCTGATTTACAGACTTTAGTAGCTGCTGTCTCCAACATGGAAGATAACCAGGAGGAGAAGCTGCTGCAGTCTGTCCAGTAGATCCAGTCTGACCTGGTGTCTCCCTCTGTGTGTCCAGGGCTGGTGGAGTCCAGTACAGACAACTACAGAGGAGCACTGCCATTCGACGAGACCACACAGGCTTCCACCAATCAGCTGTCTGACCTGCAGGAGGCTGGGGGGGGATTCTCAGAGGTCAGCTATGGCCATTCTTCACTGTGGACTAATGGGGGGGGTAGTTATTGTCATGACAACAGCCTCCCTGGGCCGTCCTCACACTGCGCCCCCCTCTCATACCTGCCCGGTAGACTCATTGGAGCAGAGCCTGGCAGCTCTGGGAGGGGACTGGCTGTTGAGAGTTCAGCAGGAAGGGGATTGGCTGTTGAAAGCTCCAGAGGCTTCCACACCTCTGTGTCCTTTGAGCAGCAGCATCCCGTTATCGATTTGTCAGAGGAGTCAAGCCCCATTCAGGTTTCAGGCCACATACAGGGGGGGCAGCTGGCTGTTCAGAGGCCCCCCCCATTCCTGGACCTGGGTCCCAGTAAGGCTAAGAGCTGTTACAGCGGCGCTGACATGCAGCAGAAAGTCCCCAGGAAGAGGGTATACATGTGTAGGTTCTGTGGGAAAGGTTTCAGCTCGCCAGCAAACTTAGAGTCTCATCTGAGGACTCACACCGGAGAGAGGCCATATGGCTGCAGCATCTGCGGCAAAAAGTTCTCCCAGTTCTGGAACCTGAAGATCCACAGGAACATCCACACCGGAGAAAGGCCCTACCAGTGCTTGCTCTGCCCCGAGAGGTTTTCCGACCCCAGCAACCTGAAGAAACACCAGAAGAGACACCACACGCAGTCAGGGACGGGTCAGCTGCCGAGCTGAGTAAGGCCACAATATATGACAGGAACATAATCCCCTCACCCCAAACACCAGTCAGATCAGACATCCATGTCTCTGTAGCAACACAAAGGAATAAAGGCTGGTCCTCAAACATTAAAGATCTGTATTGTCGTGGCCCATGAGGTAAACTCAATAAAATATCATTCACACACAACAGCAGAGTCATACGGAGGAACAGGAAAAGTAATGAAGCATTTCCTTTATCTCATATTTTAATAGGCATTAAATATAAATAATTTATAAACCAAGGATTAATCATTAAATAAATACTTCAGATTTAAAACTGGATTTACAAAAACACCATGAAACATTACATAAACCATTTATAAATGTATTTTTTTTACTTTAACTTTTATTGGGTTTTCTTTTTTTCAAATAGAGAAAATTAGATGTTACATTTTACTTACATACTGATGCAGATACTTAAACAAGGTGAAAAAGAAAGAGAGAGAAAAAAGGGGGGGGGGGGGTCTAGAGAATGGGCTAAACATAAAGTGTAGTTCAAGCCATGCCATCTATACGGTACAGCAATACATAAAGTACATGAGGAAATGGGTGGTTTATTTTACTTTGGGAGTATGACTAAGAATTCTGGGGAAGATGGGTATTTTGCGAACAATGTCCATTATGACCTTCCACGATTGTTGCTTCTTATTATACACTTCAGAGAGGTTAGACGCAATTCCCTCCATCGAGATCGTCTCAAGGAAAGTTTGAAACCACAGTCCTGCTTTCAGTTGATCTGCTTTATAAATTAATTTATTAATTAATGAATAAGTAATAAAATTTTCTAAAACTATTTGAAAGACATTTTTTGGGCTTTTTATGCCTTTATTGGATAGCACAGTAGAGAGAGACAGGAAATGGGGAGGCAGAGAGAGGGGGAATGACATGCAGTAAAGGGCCGTCCGATGTGGGATTTGAACCTGGGCCGACTGCAGCGAGGACTGTAGCCGCTACATATGGGGGCGCCTGCTCAACCCACTGCACCACTTAACACCCCTTGAAAGACATTTTAAAAATGAAAATACATAATTGGATTACCATCATGACAATCTGTGCCGTCAGTGAAGGAGAAACTAAATGACTAAGATAATGGATTAGCTAACAAGAAAAGCAGGGAAATTGAAATTGAAATGGAAATGGAAATTGAAAAGTTCATCTAGTTATGTATTTCCATTTTTAAAATGTCTTTCAAATTGTTTTTCAAATTCTATTATTTATTCATCAATTAATAAATGTATTTCTAAATGATTTATTAGATAAGAGTTTTATGCTGTTTTTGTAAATCCAGTTTTAAATCTGAAGTATGGATGGTGGATTAATTGTTAATTTATAAATTCTTTTTACAATTCCTATTTTAATGTCTATTAAAATATGAAATTAAGGAAATGATTTATTACCTTCTTGTGACATCACTGCTCCATCGAGTCATGTCACACTGCTTAGAAATAATGTCTTTATTCAATAACTGATTTTTTTCTCAGAGCTAAAGGTACTGTTAATGTTACCGTCAACACAACTCAACACTTCCTGCACATATTTCACATTTCATTTTTGAGACATCTGGGGGCTTTTAATGTGAAAATCTGTGCAGGAAGTGTTGAGTCGCAAAATAGAACCTCGGACACGGACAGTGTTTCTGTTGTGGTGAGTGGTGTGTACGAGTGAAGAAGTCAGCACTTCCTGGACAGATGTTAGACATTAAAAGCCCTTTATGCTGTTGGTAGGCTTTCATTGTGAAACTTTCTTTGCAGGAAAAGGTGGGTTTCTCTGGCATGTGGAAGTGTATGTGAGTGTAGAGAGTGAGAGCAGCACAGTATATGATCAAACATACATCATTATAAATGAAGGGGTGTGAATCTGTTTCAGATGAAGGTCTGGATCTCTCTGCACTTGAGGGAAATAACAGGCCTGATTCAAAACGACAAAACAAGCCAAACAACAGATACGTTACAGACAGTGCGGGGCAGAGTCTTAACACTGTTTGGAGAAATATTCACACAGTGATATTGTGTTTTAATCCTGTTCTTCCAGTGGACATGCATTGAGTTTGTTTTATCTACAAGAGTAATTCTATACTAGAGGAGTGTGTCGTTTTAAAGTGTGACTGTTGAAGCATGAACATAGACTGTAAATGTAAAACTAGCTTTTTCTATTGTGTCACAATTTTGTAAACTCCTGCTCAATGTCCATAGTTTGTAATGTACATCATTAAAACTTTATCAAAACATGAACGTGAATTTGTGTTTTCCTTATAAACTACATTACAAAATTGTGACACAATATTAACAACAAATTCAATTCAATTTTGTTTTTATAGAACTGAATCATAATATAAATTATCTCAGGGCTCTTACAGGGTGGGTTTGAGACCTTATTCATGGTGGGGTCTGCCTCGACCGGTTGAGTGTGAGAACAGAAAGGGGGTGAGGGAGGAGAGAGAGAGACCTTGGGCAGCAGTATAAACTGTTGATTGTAAATTGTAAAAGTGAAAATAATAACAGTTATCCACAGGTTATGGTGTTATCAATAATACAAAATAATAATAATAATGATATTAATAATAATAATGATGAGCATTGTAGTGGCAGATCTGGATCCTGCAGCTCCCAAAACAGAGACCTGCAGAATTAGGACAGAGAGAGAGAGAGACATAGAGAGAGAGGGAGAAAGAGAGAGAGAGCTCAGTGCATCATGGGAGTCCCCCCAGCAGTCTAAGTCTATAGCAGCATAGCTAAGGGGTGGTTCAGGACTCACCTGAGCCTGCTCTAACTATAAGCTTTATGAAAGAGGGCAGTTTGAAGCCTGATCTTAAATGTAGAGAGGGAGTCTGCCTCCTGGACCCAGACTGGGAGCTGGTTCCTCAGGAGAGGAGCCTGACAGCTGAAGGCTCTGACTCCCATTTGAGAAACTAGGAGCCACAAGTAGACCTGCATTTAGAGAGCGGAGTGTTCTGTTGGGATGATAGGGAGATATGAGCTCTTTAAGATACAATTGTGTCTGACCATTAACAGCTTTGTAGGTGAGGAGGAGGATTTTATAGGGAGCTGATGCAGAGAAGCTAACAGGAGAGATGTGATCTCTTCTCTTAGTTCCTGTCAGTACTCTGCTGCAGCGTTTTGAATCAGCTGGAGGCGTTTCACTGAGTAATTGGGACATCCTGATAATAAAGAATTACAGTAGTCCAGTCTGGAGGTAACAAATACATGGACACATCTGTAACTCATGCTGAATCATAATGACCATATGTACAGGTTTTTCACAGAGGGCCATTTAGAGCATGAACCCTCAGCCAGTCTGAGTTGCAGAGTTGCCACAGTCCTGTCCACAGCAGCAGGTTCCAGCTGAAACAGACAGAACTTTCAAACATGTGTGATGCCATTCAGCCTTAAGTGGCTCCGCTGGGCTCAGACCAGTCATCAGAGGAGACACATGAGAGGAATAATTAAACATTTCCATTCCTTCCTTTGAGCAAGATGTTGGGATCACTATATATCTCTGGGTGAAGTATAGACATGGTTAGCTTAGCTTACCATGAAAACTGGAAGCAAGAGGAAATGACTGGTGAAAATGAAGCTCTTTGATTACATGTATCTGGGGATGAACTGGGCTCCTATGTGGTTCTATGTGCCGTGACTTCAGGAAGTCACTATTTAGCCAAAAGTCGTTCCAGAATGTCACTTCCTGTCAAACCACAATTTGTCATGTTTACATTACTGTTTGTGTAGAAACAAGATTCATGTCCATTAGTAGAATCTACAGGTGTCATGACTGATATATGAGTGTTACATGAATGCTACATGAGTGTTAAATGAGTGCTACAGGAGTGCTTGCATGAATGCTACATGAGTGCTAAATGAGTGCTATATGTTGTGTACACATGCACAAGAGTGCAGTGACAGGTGGCTGTGGTGGTCAGTCTTCACCTGGACACCACTCTGTGTCCTGCTCATCCAGTCCAGTGTGGATGTGTGTGTATGAATTCATCGAGTTTGGTATCTGTCTCTTGATGTCAGCCAGTAGTTAGACTCAGTCCTGACAGTGGGATTAATCTTGTCTGTTCCCAAAGTGTCACACTGTGTGTCGTTGTTCATTGAGTCCTGTAACCCTAATGAGTCATTAACATCTGGTCTTATTGACCCCCCACCCCCTATTGTCCCCTCCCCAGTCTGCAGCCCCTCAGTCAACCCCGATGATATCGGAAGACTCCATTGGTGTCGTGTCCGTCCAGCTCAGGGTACCAGACACCAACACACCAGCCAACCCCAACACACCACCACCTCCACCACCGCAGAGATCCAGCAACACTCTCACCTCTAAGTACTCTCTGTTTGAACTGGATACATTCTTCAGCCGCTGGGCCCCTGATAGTGACCCCGCCCCCGCCCCCGGTGGCCCCTCATGTCCTTTCACTGCCGATGACTCACCAGAGTGTGACCAGGACAGAGTTATCATTGTAGAGACTGAACCATCAGTCTCCTCAGCAGTGAGGATGAGTGGAGGGCAGAGTTTGACAGCTGGCCGCTCCTCAGGTGACATCCAGCCGACTGCGTCGCCAGGTAACACGTTCTTCATTGTCATCAGAGACATGTCACACAGTGGTAACTGCTGAAACACACATCAAGATCATAAAGGTCAGTACAGGTCAGGGCGCTAAAGGTTAGCAGAGACATTTCTGATGACTCGTGATTAGACGAGAACACATCATTCATTTGAATCTGTCATGACAATCTGACATTGAAGCCTCACACAGGGACCATACAGACCACAGGTGATGGTCACAGAGATGATGTTTCAGTCAGCATAACAGAGGAAAGAAATAATCACCTGCGTCTGGATGTATATCATGTGTGTCCCTGGAAGTGTGCGTGGACTGATAAATGTGAATTGTCCTGTGTGTGTTCTGTGAGACATACAAATAGTGGACACTTCCTGTGGGCTGAAAGCTGTATGTGTGGAGGGCATATTATCCTTATTGAAATGACGAGGTGTTCGTATTGTAGACACCGATTTATGTCACGGTGATGTCATGAGAGTGTGTCGACCTGAATCCATGTTGTCTTTGCTCTGTCAGCAGGAGGGACTTCTGTGTCCACACCTCTGAGGATGCAGGCTCCTTCCTCTCAGCATCCGTGGAGCAGAACTATAACAACCATCAGACGAGCACAGTCTCAGCTGCTGCAGCAGCCTCGCAGCAGCAGCAGCAGCTCTGAGCAGCAGCAGACTGTCCCTCTGTCCTCCAGCAGAGCTGCTGTCACTAACACCAACAGTGGGGATGAAACAAGTGTCTCTGGTATCAGCTCCACCTGCAGGACTATGAGCTCCACAGTGGCTCCACAGGCAGCTCTGTCTGTCAGGGGATCCACTGCAGTGTTGGCCAGCATTGAGGCAGCCATCGCTGCGCAGCGTCGAGCTGGCCTCCTGGCCTGCCACAGTAAAAGCCAGGCTGCCGGCGTTGCGCCGGCTGAGCGCCGCAGGAAGAGCTACGTCTGCCGAGCCTGCGGCAAGGCATTCTCTGGCCTGTCCAACCTGGAGGCCCACGAGCGAGTCCACACGGGGGAGAAACCTTTCCGCTGCAATACTTGCGGGAAGCACTTTTCCGAGGCCGGGAACCTGAAGAAGCACCAGAGGGTTCACACTGGGGAGAAACCCTTCAGCTGTGACCAGTGTGGGAAGAAGTTCGCCTGGATCTGCAACCTGAGGACGCACCAGCAGTCTGCCACAGGCTGCGGACCACAGGCCAGGGGGGGTGGGCTGGGCTGATCAAACACAGTGGGACAGGATGCTAATGCTAGGAGTGTGTCATTCACACACACAGGCACCTTCAGTGTTACACAGCAGCAATACTTCACACTCTCCTTCATGATGATCAAACACTGTACCACTATTAATCACCAAATCAGTGTTTTCATGCTTTACTTCATTAGCTACAGACCATGTGTACTAACATTACTACTGACCATTTACCAGAGGAGGTCATGTCGCTCTGAATGCAGCAGACACTGTTTTTAGTTAATGCAGCTTGATTTTAACGTAGATTTTCATACTTTACAGAAATAAATAGAGACTAATAATAATAAACGGCTGCATGGATGTCAGAGAAAGTTCATTAAAAATCCCACCAGCTTGAAACCAACAATACCAGGAAGTAGCTTTTACAAATTATGGGACGTGTGGTCTTATTTTGAGCTAATAATCATTCCACAGTTATCACATTGTACACAACAGTATAGTCGCTGATTCAAGGTGCTACTTCAGGATGATATTTGTTATATACAATCTTCTGACATTCCACCACAAGCCTGGTTTGGAACCACTGGATGAAATAATCATTTTTATTGTGAACATATAAACTGTGTGTTTTGTTAATATCCAAAATAAACATTTAATGAGGCACAATGAAACTGTGTTATGTATAAGTCACGTGGTTAGATGAATACGGTTCCAATCGTCCGGCTGCAGTCGGTAAGCATTGGACTCTTAGTCACAGGGTAGTAGGTTCGAGCCCCACGTTCGGTGGCAAAGTTGTTCTTTTAAAAAAAAAAAATCTACTTGTATGTTCACACATCATGGCTGAGAGTCACCACGTTAAACTATTATGTTCCCAGCTAAATATCAGTCAGTAGCGTTGTTCTGTGTTATTAGGTTTGTATTTTCGATCAAAATCGTCCTTTCACGTGGCGTCGAGTGGCGCAGTGGCAGGCGCCCCATGTGTAGAGGCTACAGTCCTCGCTGCAGTCGGCCCCGGTTCAAAGCCCGCATCGGACGGCCCTTTACTGCATGTCATTCCCCCTCTCTCTGCCTCCCCATTTCCTGTCTCTCTATACTGTCCTTTCCAATAAAGGCACAAAAGCCCAAAAAACATACTTGAAAAAAAAAAAAATCGTCCTTTCACGATGTACGCGTGGAGCCTGCTTACTGCTTACTACGTGTGACGTCTGTTTAACGTACGTACTCTGCCAGGCCATGATGCATGATAATGGCAAAGCATATGGAGGTTTCTGTTTCAGTCTGAGATTTATAGAATTTAATTTATAGACTTTAATGAAAATCTATTACACAAGTCTGCGTAGGTTGTCTAGTTCTGTGAATAAATGTGACTCTCAGGAAGACCAAATGATTAGCAGAGGATGGTTTCGATCCATCGACCTCTGGGTTATGGGCCCAGCACGCTTCCGCTGCGCCACTCTGCTATGACGTTGCCTAGGAAACATAATAGGATCATCAATGTTAAACCAATCAGTCCATGAGAGTAATTTTATATATTTCATTTTGACTCAGTAGTGATTCACCAAAAGCCTGTACTACGAAAGAAAGTTCAACAGTCCAAGGATAACTTTTAGTTATCTGGCTTGAATGAACCTAACATTGGCCGTTCTGATAACCAGATAACCTGTACGAAGCTGGATATCAACTGGCTCAGCTAACCCTGGGTTTTCCTCTCCGGGTACGCATTCATGTGAAAGATGCGGAGTTGTTAATTATAAGCAACATCGTCTGAACCTTGAGTTAAGTACTTAATATGATCATGAGAAGACACGCTGATACTTGCCGGTAAATTCGGTTATAACCACGTCCAAAAGTGATGTTCAACAAGGTGAAATGTAAACGATATGATCATATGACTGGAATGAAAAAATATTATTTCCACGTTGTCTAAATATAATTTGTATTAAAGTCAGAGTATAGATATACTGTAAATAACTGCATGAATTATCATTACATTTGAGTATTTTCGTTCTTCAGTCTGATGATAAAATGTTATGAACATGTGACGCAGATAATGTTTCTGCTGCAGAGAGGAGAGAAAGAAAAGAGGAGAGGACTAGTCGATGTCTCATGAGTCAGTCTGATATGGAAATAATTAACAGTGTCTAAACAAAGACATAAGAGGTTTAGTTTTTATTTCCAGTTGTGGTCACAGTCTCCTCATGTTATTGTAACGGACTGGGTGACATGTTAACGTAACTATTCTGTTGTAGGGTTACTGTGTTAAGGATGTTAACTGCAGTTAAGGTTTTACAGTTTGTCAGTGAATGCGTGTTATGCTCAGTATCTGTGAAGCCTGTTAGTTATCTCAACAACCTATGATAGTGATTGATGTGAGATAATGTGCCTGTGATTGGCTGATAGTGTGGTCTACAGTCTACGGCGGGAGTTGTTGAAGTTGTGTAAAGCGCTGAGATTACACGGTGAAAGCACTTAACTTTGTTGTTTTGCCGTTGGCTACGGACTACAGTAGCCTGTGTTTAAGTGAACTGAAGTACTGGTGAAACCAGCTCAAGACCCGTAGCTTAATTATTGAGGGACGCTACATTATTCTTAACTGCAGTGATGAAGCAGAGAGTAAAACCATTGACACTGTCAGAAATCCTGTTGGATTAAAGAATATTTGTTAATTTATAATAAAGCTACAACAGTTATACGCTGTTTAGCGTGATAAACTCTCCGTGCATTTTTTTAGAAGCTTTGTTTTAAAACCAGAGTAGACACATGGAAAGACCCAAACAGGAAAACTTTTCCACTGATTTTTTATATTTTGTATCTACTGCTTATTATTGATTACCTTATTGTATACTCTTTTGTTAACACTCAAATTCAAATAAGCTTTTGAATTCCACAATTGCTCCCCTCCATAGTCCATGGTTTTGCCATTTCTCTAATTGCACCAGATAAGTCAGCAGGTTATTAGTGGATTTATATGCAGATATCATTGTGCATAGTATCATAGTGGCAAATTGGTTGTCACTGCTGGGCATTGGGTTTGATTAAACTTATCACAGTATTTACACAATTTTAATCTTAGGAATTACATGATGTCGACATAAGGCATACCACTGTTCTCCATGCCATTCCTGTGAGGAAGTCTCTGGATTTTTCAGAACATGTATGGTAAGTCCCAGTAAAGAAATATTAGGCCCATTGTACTGTATATTAACCCATTCATATTTTCATTTCGTTTTCTTTATTCATGTATAAGGAGAACACACATCAACATTTCTGTAAATGTGCCATTGTTTCAACCTTGGGCGAGATGTTTTGAAACCTGAGTGTCTTTTTGTGCCCCAGTAGGGCATTTTTTAAAATAATTGACAGTCTAGCCTAGCAGTGGCACGCCTTCCCAGCGATCGGGAGCACAAAGCAGCAGAATGAACAGGGGTCTATCAGACTTTGTGTATTCAGTGTTTTTTTGTTTTTTTATGACAATCAACTGTAATTAAAATTGCCACAGCCTTAGTGCCCATGGTGTTTCAGTAGTGTTGTACTGAAGCCTCAGAGTCTATTGTATATATTTAGTTCAATTAAGCTCATTTGAGTAATATATATTTTCCCCTTGCCGCTGCCCTGTTAAGTCCCTTTTTTTCTATTCGATTTGCCTCGGTTTATTATTTCCTATTCATTATTAAAACTGTTCTGTATAGTTTGGTTCATGCGGGACATGTTGAGTGTGCGCACGTTGTGTGTGGTTCTGGTGGTGCTACTGTAGTCTGTAGGCGCACTGCGTCCTGATTGGTGCGCGATCTTGTGTGTGTGTGTGTGTGTGTGTGTGTGTGTGCAAGTTTAAGAAGAAGAAGAAGAGACGGCTTCGGCTAAAGTAGCCACACTGAGCTCCTAGCTCTCTCAGCTCTTAAGTTTGGTAACCTAACGGACCTTTATGCCAGTGTGAGATTCTACCTGAGGGATTTCGCCGTCTGAGGAATATTGGCGCTGTCAAGAGGGATTTTTTGTCTCCTGCCTTGTGTGCGGAGTACGTCGGTTGGGAGTTGCTAGCCAGCGCGGCTAGTTTTGCTCCGCCAACCACGTTTCCAACAACGTGGATACCCATGACTCTGCGGCTGATACCCCCCTCGTCGACAGTTACTTTCCTCCTCTCCTTAGGGTTCGCCTGCCTCCTCTCCCCGTCGGTCAACGGATCCGTCATCCGTCACCCTCCCCTCCCATTTCCTTCTTCATCATCTGGGACGTTATCTCCACATGAGCTCCACCCCCGGGCAACTTGGTACCATTAGTGTGGGAAATAGTTCAGTTATTTAACATATCTAAATCTAGTGTTTTACTCTGAGTGTGTTCGTTCGTTCGTTCGTCGTCTCCCGCTTATCCGGATCCGGGTCGCGAGGGCAGCAGCCTCAGCAAAGAGGTCCAGACAGCCCTCTCCCCAGCCACTTCCACCAGCTCCTCCGGGAGAATCCCGAGGCGTTCCAAGGCCAGCCGAGAGATATAATCCCTCCAGCGTGTCCTTGGTCGGCCCCGAGTCCTCCTCCCGTTGGGACATGCCCGAAACACCTCCCCGGGGAGGCGTCCAGGAGGCATCCTCACCAGATGCCCGAACCACCTCAACTGGCTCCTCTCGACATGGAGGAGCAGCGGCTCTACTCCGAGTCCCTCCCGGATGACCGAGCTCCTCACCCTATCTCTAAGGCTGAGCCTGGCCACCCTGCGGAGGAAACTCATTTTGGTTGCTTGTATTCGCGATCTCGTTCTTTCGGTCATTACCCAAAGCTCATGACCATAGGTGAGGATTGGAACGTAGATCGACCGGAAAATTGAGAGCTTCGCCTTCCAGCTTAGCTGCCTCTTCCCCACAACGGACCGATTCAGCGCTCGCATCACTGCTGACGCTGCCTCAATCCGCTTGTCGATCTCCCGCTCCATTCTACCCTCACTCGTGAACAAGATCCCGAGATACTTAAACTCCTCCACCTGAGGCAAAGCCTCCCCCCCGACCCGGAGCGGGCAATCCACCCATTT